GGAGAGGTCCCTATGCTTTTATCTTGCACCCACCATTCCCCCTCCCTCTCAGACTTTCTGCCATTTTTGAAAAGCAGTAGTAGGAATATTTACTCCTGATTTTTTAAGCTAGCCCACCAGTGTTGGAGGGAATGGCAGGTACCGGGGAAACGGCATTAGATGTAGGCAGGGTATGTGTGCAGATTCTCAACTGGCAAAGAGACCTACGTAGGGGGTACAGAGTGGGGGGGAAAGGTCAACCGTAGGGGCAAAGGCCATAAGACAGAGATGGGGGTGGGGAAGAGAAGGAAGACCTTCCGCACAACTCTGTTATTGGGAACCAGACCTTCAGGCAGGAGTCCATGACTCAGAGTTCTGAGCCTCTGGTCTGTCTTTCAGAGGACACGTCTGAGGATCGCAGCAGTTTCCCCCTCGCTTAAAGGTATCATGCAGGGCGGGAAAGCCCCATCTTGCAAAGGCCTTGGGAGGCTTGCCCCCATCTTGCAGCCCACCGACCATGTCCTGAAGACAAGCAGGTGGAAAAGGGCTTGAGCGTGGGGAACAACTAGGACGTCCTGACCCTTCCCACCTTGCCAACTTGCTTGGCTGTCTGCGGAGAGCGAAAATTGCTTCCAGGCAAGCAAGTCAGAAGCTATATGGAAGAGCCTTCTTTTTTCCTTTTCTTTACAAGCTGTTGTTAAGCTACTGAGATAGTTATGTAGGAGCAGGAAGGCCAGTCAAAACATTGGGCTAGCTGGCAGGTTTGCACGGCTGCCGTAATGCACGTCTGTTTAGGACTGGCAGCTGGGACGAGGGGTCTGGTGGTCGCCACCAGCAGCAGAGAAGAGTGCAGGTGCAACAGAGAGGAAGGGGGGGGAGAGAAAGGGGCCCACAGGGTCTTGGCAGGCACACTGTGGCCTACAGGCAACCTGTGGAGGAATGAGGATTTATGAACTGTGCACCTCTCCAGAGAATGTACTGAAAGCGAATGATGCTGAAGCTGTGCAGGGCGGGAAGGGAGGCTGCCCGGGAATCAGACGCAGGGCACTTGGAGCTCCTCGGAGGAGGAAGAGCCAGGAGGAGCAGGAGGAACAAGGAAGCAACCAAATCAACAGACAAATAAGTAAAAGCAAAAGCAAAGCCAAGTTCTTCCTGCGTCTGATGAAGTGAGATCAAGAAAGCTGGTGTCAGCCTTCGATGTGCCAAAACGACCCTTTGCTATTTTGGCTACAACTGACTAACACGGCCACTCCTCTGGAACACACAAAGGAATGACATTTGTGAGTGCTGTTGCAGTGGTCTGTGTGGCAGATTTTACGCAATGCTGCCTACGGAAGCCTCCGTTCAAGAGGTCAGGTCTTGGGCCAGCCAAAGGGCAAGGGAACCCCGCACTTCTGTGGGCTTAGTCTCCTCAGAGTCTCCCGCTCTTTGCCCCCGGCTTGGGGAGGGGCCGTGGCTCGTGGTAGAGCATCTGCCTGGGATGCAGAAGGTCCCAGGTTCAATCCCAGAACCTCCAGTTAAAAGGACCAGGCAGCAGGTGATGAGGAAGACTTCCGCCTGAGACCCTGGAGAGCGGCTGCCAGTCTGAGTGAACAATACTGTCCTTGACGGAGCGATGGTCTGATTAAGTGCAAGGCAGCTTCCTATGTGACAGCGGTGTGGAATACGGAGGCTCCACTCAGAGCTCTCTTGGCTGAGTGCCCCCAATGGACCGGTCCTCGGAGAATTTCCCTCCTGCCTGAACTCACCTGAATGCCGCCACACTGTTTGGGTGGGATCCTTTGTCAATTTAGACTTACAAAGAAAGCATGTGGCGAAAAGAGCCCTGCCATATGGTGCTCCCTCACTCCCTGCAGACCCGGCTCTCTGCTTTTAGTTCCTTCCAGAATTCCCCGCTCTTCTCTTTTTGGGGTGTGCAAAGGCAAATCGCAACGGAGGAAGCCGGGACTGGGAGGAGAAGGGAGCGGGGTGTGTGTGGGGGAGAATTAAAACAAACTTAAACGGGGAGTCCAGGCTCAATCACCTTGTGCCAGTGAAAGACAAGGGCTTTCCTATCAAAGGAAGCTGAAGGTCACACTTTTCCTCATTGATCTTGCAATGTTTGTTAATTACTCTGTCACTGATGTGGCGAAGGATAATTAAACAGCTCTGTTTATATCTTATATGCATAATTATGTGCGTTGCCACTGAACTCACGAAGGCTGGAAAAGAGGGAAGGGACAGATGAACAGAGATGAGTTTCGGCTGCGTTATTAAGGGGGGGGAGGCTTGGCCGAACACACAAAAGGCAGAAATGTTGATGGAGCTGTGAGATTTGGAGGGGGGGGCAACTTGTCAGAGACGTTGGAATGAAGACCAAGTGTCGGGCAAAGTTATTAAGCCTGAATGGAGTTGAGACTTCATTTGAAGACGCCCTCTCCTCTGGGGTTCCTGGGGAGTCAGTCCTGGACTGCTCTTCACAAAGGGAGCTGCCTGCCTTCTGGAACCCCTCCCTTTGAAACAGCTTTCTGGCTGTCTCTGTATAAACTTCCCCCTTGATCTTTCTTCCAGTTGGGAGGTGGGTTCCCACGTCTCGCCTCTGCCTCCCTCCCCTGAAGAAGTATCTGCTGAGGCTCTCAGGACGCTTCCCAGATGAGTCCGAACAGCCAGAGGGCCCCCCTCCCTCACTGAAGCTGGGTTCAAACATTCTGTTTCCGGCATGACGGCCCACAGAGCGTCATTTTCAGGAGGTACTCTGGATCGCCTGGGAAGGACCAGCACCAATGGGGGGCTCATCAGCACAGGAGCGGCCGCTTTCCATGGAACCCACGGGCTTGCAGGCTCAAGCTAAAAAGAGAGGGCTTGGACCAAGCCAGCTTCTCCCTCGTCCCTGTCTTGCCTCTGTACTTTCCACGGACTCCCCCCCCCCATCATATACCAACGAAATCACCCTCCATGTTGACACCCATTCCTCATCCATGCAACGCGGGTCCCTCAGCCTTTCCTGTCTTATCCAGAGTGCAAAGGCGACAGTCAGGCTGCGCCAGTGAGTTCAGGTAAGAAAGGTCTTCGAAGAGCCAGGATCTGGACATGGTCGCAAAGTGAACAGGACTGCTCTCACCATGGGAGAGGTCTATGACCACCATTCCAAAACAAAGAAGTGGAAGAAAATGACCCGCAAATCAAGGCAATGGGGAGAAAAACACAAGCAGGCTGGAAAGAGAAAAGAAAATGATTGTGAGGAAGTGTGATGGAGGGGTGGGGACGCAGGGCACAGAATATGGTGAAAAGGAAGGAAATGAGGAAAGCAACAATGCAAGAAAAGAACAGGTGGAAGGAAGGAAGGAAGGAAGGAAGGAAGGAAGGAAGGAAGGAAGAAAGGAAGAAAGAAAGAAAGAAAGAAAGAAAGAAAGAAAGAAAGAAAGAAAGAAAGAAAGAAAGAAAGATCATGTGTTCCAGTACGTTTGTTTTGGCAAGGGCAACCCAGTTTGTCCACAGAGTCAAGCCAGAGCAGCAGCAGACTGAGGTGTTGCTACAGGAGCCGCTGCTGTTTGTCAAGGAGGCAGCGGCAGGCAGCGGAATGCCTCTCCAGGGGCAGACAGGCAAAGAAACCATCTCCCACGTGCCAGCTAATCTCTCCCCACCCCACCATGTCACTCTCCCTTCTCCTTTCACCTTCAACGGGGAGCACAAGACGCCAAGGGGCCTGCAGTGCAAGCCAGGGAGAGGGGGGGTTGGGAGAGAGAGAGGGAGAGAGAGAGGGAGAGAGAGAGAGAGAGAGAGAGAGAGACTGCCTGCTGCCACCTCCCTGGGGCTTGGAGGCATCAGGAGTTTGCACACATATGCATTTGCACACTAAGGCTGCACACTTTGACTGTAACAACTTTCTAGACACCTGAATTTGCAACACACTTGTAGAAAATCAGATGAATGGAAGAAAGAAAAAAGATCATTTGGACGCTCGGATGACAGTGGTTATGTTGTTGTTTGCATGTATTTTGTTATCTCTGTTTTATCTTAACTTGATACTTTTATCAGTTCCAAAGATTCACATGCCATCTTTCTGCTTCAACGGAAAAGTTTCTACGGGATTTCTTAATGCACTTGCCCTGTTGTACTAGATGAAGTAGTTAGAGAACGTTTTAAATAATTCTGATATTTACTACGGTATTATTCTTTCACCCATCAAACAAAATATAGAGCCGACTATCATGTTTTAATGGTTGTTAGAATGTCAGACTAGGATCTGGGAGGCCCAGGTTCGAATTGCCTCTCTGCCATGGAAGCCTGCTGGGTAACCTTGAGCCAGTCACATGCTCTCAGCCTAACCTACCTCACAGGGTTGGTGTGAGGACAAAATGGAGAAAGGGAGACGGTTGTAAGCCACTTTGGGTCCCCACTGGTGTGAAAAGTGGGGTATGCATGAAGTAAAATTTAATTTAAACGTTTCACCCATTTTAAATATTTCTATTTTACACTCGTGTGCTTTAAATCAGCATTACACACTATACAATATGGGACGGGGAGTGGTCTGTGGGTTTCAGTGAATGTGTCACGATACTTGAAAGGATTTTTTAAAAAGCCATCTACCTAATCCAGCCACCTGCTCCAAAAATATGTTAATCATATCATTCCACAGCAAAAGAAGCTCCACTGAGCCTCAGTGCAGAGAAGGGGGAAAGACACACCCGCTGCTCCCAGTGAGCTAACAGGCCAGGAGGGATTCCTTCCTGATCCTAGCCCCGGTGATCAGCCAGACCCAAAACCACCCATCAAGCCATCCCTTGGGAAACGGCACTGCTCAGCATTCTGGCCCAACTATGGCACCTCCTGATGGCTCTGAAGAACCTCAGAAGAGCCCTGATGGATCAGACCTTTGGTCCATCTGGTCCAGCTTCCTGTCTCACACAGTGACCCACCAGTTCCTCTGGAGGGCCAACGACAGGGCAAGGAAGCCTTCCCTGAATGCGGAGGTTCTAAACCAGACAGGGGGCAACATCAGTTGAGAGAGTCGACACCACTCAGCCAGGATCCCACCTTACCTGAAGGAGCTCCGCCACTGAGCTTGGAGCCCGTGTCACTGCGGGAGGAGCGGAAGCCTTCGTCCTTCAAGGGAGACCCATCTGAATCCCGCTCATCCAGGAAACTGCCATCTTGAGAGCCCCGCTGCGGTTCAGCGTCATCCCCGTTGTCCTCCTCGTCACTGCAGCCCTTGGGCTGCACCATGTACACGCCCTCGGGGGGCACCTCCGCACCCTCGGAGCCTTTCCCTTCCTTGTTCTCGATTCGCCCCAGCAGGGCCTCTTCGCTGTACTCCCCGTTCACCCACTTCTCAATCACCTCCCTCCGCTTGTCCTCCTCGATCTTCTGCTCCGGAAACTCGGCCCCCGGCTCCTTCCCACCAGGCTGTGGGAGCTCCTTGTTGCTGCCGCCGGTGCTGCCCCGCCCCTGGGGAGCCTTGCCCGTTTGCGCTTGCTCGGATCCCTTGTGGTCAACGACGACCTGGCGGCTCAGCTTGGCACAGATTGCATTTAGCTTCAGGCCACCTTTGCGCTTGGCAGCCATCTTGGTGTTTCCTGAGGTTGTGTCAGTGCATATAGTTCTTTCAGCTGAAGGTGATGGACCACAGGGAGAGAGGAAGAGAGAGAAAGGAAGAATTGACGTTAAGAAGGTAATCTTGAATAGGCAATAAAGCTTACACACCTCCAGTTCAGCCCGAACATTTTAGAGAACAAGTTGCTTACTCCAAGGCCAATTCACATGATCAAACCAGTGCATTGAAAATGTGGACTGAGAAGATTCATAGAGCTTTCAGTGGAGTGGCCACAGCAGAGGTCCCCAAACATTTTTAAGCCTGTGGGCATGTTTGGAATTCTGACACAGGGCAATGGGCACCACCACAAAAATGGCTGCCACGAGAGGCGGAGCCACACACAAGCACGGAGGAAGCCCCAGTGTTGGGGACAAGAGGGGGAAAGTGTGTGCAAGTGAATAAAATGAACACTGCAGTGGCAGCTGCCACCAAAACTATGCCATTTTAATCTGCATATCCCATCCGATTTTCAATGGCCAATCGGACGGCCTGCTTGGAAGGAGCCCTGCCTGGCCCCACCCACTCTCTAAAAGCACCTGGCGAGTGCCAGGAAAGGTGTTGGCAGGTGCCGTCGTGCCCACAGGTGCCACGATGGGGGCCCTGAGCTAGAGCAACAGGTCTGGACACAGGGACTGTATCTCTGCCTTAGCCCCCAGCCTCCGACTTCTACAGGACTCACAAGACTGGGTACGACAAATTCATGGAGGAGGGACAGATTCTCTCAACAACTGTTAGCCATAACACCTAAACGGAACTTCCGCGTCCCGAGACAGCATATCCCCTGAGTTTCAAATGCTAGGGAGAAATAATAATTAATAAAAATAATTATTGTATGGCATTGTGTGTCGTGAGATTGGCTGGCAGTCTGAAGTTCTAGTTCTTTTAGTATTATGCACCACTAGGTGGCGAGCTAGACTTATATTTTGGACTGAGAGGGCTCTGAGAGAGCTGTGACTGACCCAAGGTCACCCAGATGGCTTCATGTGGAGGAGTGCAGAATCTAACCAGGTTCTCCAGGTGAGAGTCACCACTAGATGAAGACAAGTGGAACATAAGGATCCACCAGCTTAACCCTCCAACATTTCTCTCCTTTGCTCTCCAAAGTTCTCCCCTCAGGGGGTTTGGAACCAGGCTTCTTACAATATGACACTTCCAAAAGAAGCCAAGGAACGGGAGCCAACAGTTCCAGCTTCCCTAAAGAGGGCTTTAGAAAATGATTTCACAAGTTCATGGTGGAGGCTGGGGCTTACAAGTGCAATAGATAAAAGCAGAACCTCCATCTTCAGAGGCAGGATACCTCCAATGACCAGACGCTGGGTGCAAACAGCAGGGGATGAACAGAGAGAGAGGCCAGCCCCTTTCCGCTTCAGTCTTAGCATGGATTCAGAGTATGGTATTATTAAAGTGTGACAAATGCAGTTGACTGCCACAAGAAGCTCCTGGTTTCTATCACATGGTGTCTCATGGCTGACTCTCTTTTTCTGTTCCTGACATTAGTGGCAATAAAGCTCCAATACAATGGGGGCATTTGGCATAGCTGCCCAAGAGGAGCTGCCGACGGTCGGTGCGAGTCAACCCTCAGCACGCTCTACTAGCAGCCTAGGTGAGCACCCACACTCTCCCCCCTTCGTATGCGATCATACCCCTGGCATTTGCTCTTCCATCACTGAATGCCCCCTGCAGCCCCCAACTGTTTACCCGTTTCAGCTCAGAGGAAAAAACAGATCTGAGGGAAAGAGGAGCAGTAAGAAAGACACGTTTGCTGTGCCCCAGAGACTCTGTTCCTGCTGCTCTTGGAGAAAGACTGCCTGCCTCCGATCCCTCCCCCTCCCCATCCCAGGCCCTGCTGATCTCTCTGGCCTGGGCCCCAAGACACAGAAGCGGGTGGCTCTCCATCAGACCCCCGGCAGTGCTCCCAGAAGCAATTGTGACAACCCCTAATCCTCTAACATGACAGCCCAACGCAAACAGCCTGAAACTTTAGACTCGCCGTCCAATGGCCAGAGCGGGCTGCTTAGCATTAGCGGCTGACAGCTTCGGGCACGCTCTCCCGTCAAGAACGGCAAAGGAAACCAATCGGCTGCACGCTGCCCACTGAACGTGTGCCAACGACGAACAAATGCCTCCCTCATCCCTTCCAGCGTGGCAAACAGAGGGAGATGCTTAAAAGCTTTCTGGCTGTCAGTAGTGATGCCTGAGCAACTAGTGCATGCTTGCAAATCGCGGCAAGCCCAGGTAGGCATTGAGAAGAACAAGTCTGGAATCATGTTTGAAATACTGTTCTGTTGCTCTGGGCATTTCTTAAAGTTGACTCTTTATATCTTTGCTTGCTATTATCAGAGACCCCAGGATTCAGGCAAGGACACCACAACTCGGTTGATTTAAGCTAAATGCAGATCTGATTTATTGCAACACACGGTATGCCTTCAGATTAAAGTGGACCAGAGGTAAGGCAGCGGCAACTGAACGGCTTTGCAAAGTAACAGGGAGAAACGATCCAAGCTGATAACAAGTCCCACTCAAAGTGGGTGGTCTGCAATCTCTGTCAAACCAAAGCACCCACTTCCCTTTGTTCTTCTCACCCACAAACATCAGATCCCCAGATAAAGGTGAAACAAAAACATGTACACCTGTGTTATTTACACACCCACCCATGTACTCACACAAGAGCACACACCCTGTACACACCCAGGTTCTGCAGAGATGGGGCACACACACACATTCGCTGGCTGGCTGGCTGGCTCTCACACCTGCTTGCATACTTCTTGGCTCAGGGTAATCCAGGTCACAGTTTTGCCACTACTTTCCCCCCATGGGTCCTAGCTGATCCAGAAGCTCAGGCAAGACCTTTTAAACTCAGGAGTGAGTCTTCCCCCCAGGCTACAGATGGGGGGTGGCGTCAAGTGAGGTGAAGGTGGGTGGGACTGAGAGCCGAATGCCAGGCCCACCAGACAGGCGGAGGGGCCTGCCCAGCCATGTGCTCTGGAGGAGGGCTGGCTCAGGGAGGCGAGGTGAAGGAGACCGGTTCAGACAGCCCCCTCCCGGGCAGCCAGCAGGCCACGGATGATTCAGCACGGGGAGAGGAAAGCACCGCACACGGGCCTGCCTGTGGATCTCTTCTGCAGGCCTGGCCGTGCCCTGCTGGCCAGCGGCAGCTGCAGGCAAGGAGGAGGTGTCGGATCCCATCAGCGGCCCCCAAAGAAGGTGCCCTCCGGCCTCAGCGCAACCAGACGTCTCTCTCGGCTCTGCCACTTCTCCGCCCGCCAGCACCTCAGTCATTCCTATCCCTCCACAACTTCCCCAGGGAAAAAGGCAGGCCCTTCACTTCAGAGAGGAGCAGCTAAGCACGTGTCTCTCTGTGTTCGTGTGTGTGCGCGTGTGTGTGTGCGCGCGCGCACAGAGACACAGACGTACAGACATGCGCGCGTGCACACACACACACACACACACATGAAATCCAGACAGCCAAGTGATTTTATAAATATTTACCAAAAGGAAGAGGGGACCAGACAACGGCAAAGCTCCATGTGGCTGCTGAGGAAGTCGAGGATCCCGAGCAGCTTGTGTCTCATCCCCCGTTCCTAGCCCAGCTTTCAGACTTGGGGGTCTGCCCCCTCTCAAAGTCCTGGCCTTGGGGCTCTTGTGCCAAATTCTCTCACAACCTCCTTCACGTTCTGCAGCTCCAAAATGGGATTTCCAAAGGAAGTGCTCTGGCTCCTGAGCTCCCAGCCCCATTGCAGCCTATCCTTTTTATTTTATTTTTTGCCAATAATGATAAGAATCTGATACTGTGCAGAAAACAACAGCAGGTCCCTGCCCTGAAGAGCTTACAACCCAAACAGCTGGGCAGCCGACCGAGGCCAGGGCAATGTGGGAAGATCATGTGCAAGAGTGGTTAGGCAACGCACACCACGGCTTAGCTAAAATACAGTTGAGTCAACTTGCTCCTGTTTTCTGGCACCAAATTTTCCCATTGTCTGCAACAGTTCAAAAGGGGAAAGCCAGTGCAGATGAAGAACAAGATCTCTGGGAAAGCTACATCTGGGAGGGGCACATGGAAACATTGCTGCTACCCTCTCTACAATTCTCCACCGGGTGTGAGACTTGCTGGTGATGCCATTTTGAGCATGGGAAGCTGAAAGGCAATGGTCCTCTATTTGCCAGGGGTGCATTTTACATTGGGGGAGCATTTGGAGGGTGCGTGGCTCAGTGGCAGAGCGTCTGCTTGGCATGCAGAAGGTCCCAGGTTCAATTCCTGGCATCTGGCACTAGGTGAAGTGAAAGAACCTCTGCCTAAAGCCCTGGAGAGCCACTGCCAGTCTGAGTAGACCTTGATGGACCAAGGATCTGAGGCAGTATAAGGCAGCTTCACGTGTTCATGAATATTCAAACATGGCCAGCCCACCTGCAGCCTGAAGTTTGCTCTTTGTCTTAAGACTGCCTTAAGGGACAGCCATGCAAAGCTGGGTCCCTGGGACCTAAAAGCAACACTCTGCCCCACCGTCAGCTGCCACCCCCCACCCACCCGACCTTGGTCTGCATTTAGCATTACGTAAAGATTCCAGGCTAAGTAAACATCCCCCTTGATTTTCTTCTTCCCAAAAGAAATGTTTTGATTTTCCATCAATCCAAGGAAGCTGTTTATAACCCAAGCTTGTCACAGAGGCTTTTTCATCTCTGCCCAGGACAAACGCTCCCACATGCTGTATTTACATTGAGTGCTTCCTGTGAAAACAATACCAATGGAGGTTTGCAGCCACATGGCAAGGGAGATGTCCGATGCCCTGCCCTGCCCTGTGGGGCTGCCGCAGAGGCAAAGGGGAGTCCCGAAGAGCCCACAGCCCGGAGCCTGTGCAATACCCCCCTGGAAAGTTAAAGAACACCCAGGTTCATTTCTTAAAAAGCAACGTCCTAGTTCTCATGGACAAACGGCAGAGAATATCATGGTTAGAAACCGCCCACCTGTGCCGTAGAGGCTGAAGTTAGTAGTAGGGGAGGTTTGTCCAAAGATAGCCC